TTCTTTTTCTCCTTAAATAAAATTTTTAAAAAATTCAAAAAAAAAAAAAAAAAAAAAAAAAGAACACAAAACAAAAAACCTACTACACCTATCATCCCTTCATCCCTATATCTGTCATTCGGGCGTACCTTTTTTGAAGACATTTAGAGTAAATAATTAAGACCTCCCATGGGCTTCTAAAACAGCCAGTCAGCTTTCTGTCATCCACACTGCAGGAGTGTCCATAACCTCTCTGACTATGTTACATGGCCACTCTATTAAACACCTGCTTAGATGTCAGACACCGTAATACCCCTGATACTCCAACCAGTCTGCTAGCTATGTATAATTCTTCATCATTCATAACTTTCATAGATAAGAAACTCAGTGCTCAGAAAGGTCACCTGCTGGGAAGTGGCAGGGCCGGAACTGAACCTGGCTCATCTGGCTCTGTACACAGAGACACAAAGCTGCTCCTCACAGCCCCTCGGCTTGGTTTACCATCAATCGCATGCCTTCTTCCTTGTACAATGAAAGGCCACTGGTAAGGTGACCTAAAACAAGAGTAATCTGATTTAGTGAAAAGTCATTTGTGGCTGTTTTTTAACTGAATAATTACATTGTCTTTGTTCGCAAGGCAGTCGTGAGTTCGATCCCTGGTACCGATAAAAAGGAAAAAGACAAAAAAAAAAAAGACATTTCTATTTCTTCTCTGCTGCATCCCCCATGCCTAGGTAGTGGGAGCCTGGCCTGAAAGAAGCACAGAAGCACGGAGAAAAATCACCTGGACCATCATTCCCTCCAAATCTTGCAGCCAAACACTCTACTGATAGGAAGCCATTTTACTACTTGAAATTTCACGCCCCAAATTAGACATAAGGAATGGCTGTGTGATAAGACATCCCCTCCAGCTAATGGTAATGTCATCATCAGCAAAGGATTATCAAACACCTCTAGGATTCACTTAACACAGGAACTTACACCTTCCCCATAGGGCTCAGCAAGCCAGCGCTACAGATCCTCCTCAGGCTGAAGAGGCTGAGGGTAAGAGGAAGGTGTGGGGTTTGAAGCCATACAGACACAAAGTGTCACACTTGGCTGCTATCCCAAGCTAAACAAACACAAAGGTCCCAGGAGTTCGGCCTTTCCTAGCCAGGGCACCTCCACTCTCCAGAACCCTGCAAGTGCAGCTGTAGCATGACCTCTTCTCCTCCTCAGTCCCCAGCTCAAAGGAAAGAACATCAGAAATGACCCGTGTCCGTCATACTGTTCCTACTTCACCTAAAAAAGACACCTTGTTCTCCAAGGACTTACTAAATGTACCAACATACACAGCCCGAATTCTTCATTAAAATACTGTGTTCACAGAGGGTGTGAAGAATGTGTGTACCCCAGGGGAAACGTTCCAGCACTAGGCGGCCGGGCACTGACTGACCCGCTACCTCACCTTCCCATACAGCTCAGAAGTCGCTATCCTCTCTGCGCCTGTTTCCTCTGCTAGAAAATGAAGGGTTAGAGCTGGGGGTTACCACTCAGTAGTACAGCACTTGCCTAGCATGTGCGAGGCCTTGGGTTCAATCTTCAGTACCTCAAAAGTAAGTAAATAAATACGTAAATAAATAAATGAGAGGTTGCTCTACATTAGAGACAACTACACACTTCAAGTGGGGAGAGGGGATTTCAGGCATGTGCTTTAGTTGTCCATAACTCTCCCTCCAAAAACCTTACAAACACAGCTCATGTCCTACTATTTACTATGTACCCTAAGGCATAGTGCTAAGTCTTTACATCACCTCACAATAACCTGAAGTAGATACTAGTATTATCCCCCACATTGTTTTTTCCTTTGGTTTTTGAGACAGGGTCTCCCTATGCAGTTCAGGCTGGCCTTGAACTCATGACAGTCTTCCTGTTCAACTTCCTGACTCAGCCTCTGGAGTGCTAGGATCACAGACAAGTGCCACCACACCCATCTTATTACCCCCATTTTAAAGAAGAAGTAAATCAGAAAGAGCTCAGAGTAGACGGTCCTTGAACCCAGGAGTTCGAGGCCAGCCTGGGCAACATAGTGAGACCCTCTCTCAACAAAAGAAGAAGATATAATGAGAAGAGAGTTCATCTATAGGGATTGGGATATAGCTTATTGGTAGATCACTTGCCCAGCAATGCAAAAATCCCTGGTTCAACCCCTAGTGCTGCAAAAACAAATGAATGCTTTACAACTATTTTCCTTTTAACAATCAATATATTTGGGCCAGGTGTGGTGGCACAGGGCTGTAGTCCCAGCACTTGGGAAGCTGAGGCAAAAAGGTCACAAATTCAATGCCAGCCTGGGCTCTACAGCAAGATTCCATTTCTGAGCGAAGGGGAGGAGGGAATAAGTCATCTCTAAGCCTAAAATTCTATGTCTGTCCAAATTAATAGTTTTTCTGCAGTTATTCTTTGTCTGTTTTGAATCTTTATACAAAACACCCAGATTAACACCACCTGAAAAGACTGTATTCGGTTATTCCCAGTAAAGGGTCCAAAGGCAGTCTCCAGCTTCTTTCTCTTCCTGTAAGTAACCTAAAGAGTCCTGTACAAATGGTTCACTGCTTTCTTTTTATTGTTTTGGTTTTTTGAGACAGCATCTTGCTATGCGGTTCAGTCTGGCCTTCAATTCACTATGCAGCCAAAGCTGGCCTCAAAAATCAGGCAATCCTCCTGCCCTATCCTCGCTGTGCTGGAATTACAGGCTTACCACACCATGCCTGGCTGACTCACTATTCTCTTGATCCCACAAAATCATGCAGATTGAGAGGCTCAAATTCTTGTGATCACATTCAGAAAACCTGTGAAACTGCCCAGGCTACCAAGGATATGCATATCTGAAAGGCCACCAAGTATCTGAAGGATGTCACTTTAAAGAAAGAATGTGTAGGGCCAGGGATAATATGCTCAGCAGTACACACCAAAAAAAAAAAAAGAAGAAGAAGAAACAATGTGGAAAAAAAAGAAAGAAACAATGCATATAGCCCAGTATGATGTTGCACCCCTGTAATCCAAGCAGCACTTAGGGGGCTGAAGCAGGAGGATCTCCATGAGTTCCAGGCCACCTTGTACAACACAGTGAGTTTAAGGCCAGCCTGAGCTACATGGTGAGACCCTGTCTCAAACACGCCCCCTCTCCACAAGAAACAAGCAATGTTTGCCACTGCAGTGTTACAATGGTAGAGCAAGTAGGGGCCAGGCCAAACAGTAGGGGTGGGGCCGGACACAGGATGGGTGGGCCAAAGCACTGCTGAACTTTCACTGCGCACATTTAAAAATACAGAGAGCAACGCTGACCAGAAGGTTTTGCCAGATTCTCTGCTCACTGCACATATTCAGGCAGACAGAGCACCCACCGTGCCCCATTCATACAGTGCCCTTGACACACCGTAATGATCCTGACTGAAAAGAAACAAAACTGTCCCTAAACTGCAGTAGGAGGCTGTACGGGAGGAAGGGGGTGTCCCTGATGGAGCTGAAGAAACAGCATAGGACTAAATCCAGCACAAAATAAACCAAAGCAAAGCAAAAACAACAACAGAGGCACTTTCCAGTTCCACATTCCAATCTTTCTTTTAAGATTTTTTTTTGGTCTTTTTGAGACAGGGTCTCCCAATGCAGTTCAGGCTGGCCTTGGGCTCACTATGTAGCCCAGGCTGGTCTCAAACTCACCATTCTCCTGCCTCAGTCTCCCAAAGTGCTGGGATTACAAGCATGTGCCACCACGCCCAGCTTATAAAATAGTGATTAACCCAAATATTGTATCTGAATCTAAGTGATAATTAAAATTGAAGATCAAAGTAAAAGTAAATAAGCCACAGTGTCAGCCAGGAAAAGGGAAGGCAGTGGCAGCAATATTGTCACACCACTTACCAAATGCAAAGAGAAGGTGCAGAAAGATACTATCAGTCCCAAGCTTGGGTGTCCCACGTGGACTGCACATAACCACACCCACGCGCACGCCCACACCCACATAAGGAGCTACCTCCTGATAAGGCTGACCACTGTGAAGAAGCCCTAGATCCCTAGAGCTACAGAGGCTGCCTATTGATCACACCAACTCCACTCTGGAATAAGAAGTAGAAACTAAGGGCAAAGCCAGTCTCGATTTTTTTTCTCTCTCTTTTTTGAGACAGTGTCTCTCTATGCCATGCACAATGATCCTCCTGCCTCAGCCTTCCTAGTGGTGGCCAGTCTCGATTTCTGCCGTCAGCCTGACAACCTATGATCATAACACAGGGGCCAGCAGTCGGCTACGGCTACAGCTATAGCTACAGCTGCAAACTACTAAGCGACCTTATAGCGCTTCACAAAGGCAGCAAAGCACAAGTGGAGGTCGGTGGCACTGCACTTCTCACAGGCCGTCAGAAAACCCTCCTCCTCTTCTTAAAGGCAAGGTTGCTGAAACTTTATCCTCAACTCTCCTGACCTTTCTCCAGTTAATCTGTAGAACGAGAAAAGAAGCAGATGGAGAAGGAGCTCGGCGGAACGGCTCTGGAAGCCCCGGTAGCGGGGCTCACATCTTTGCAAGGGTGATGCAACAGGGTCAGACGGAAGCAGGGAAGGAGCTGGGAGGCGCAGGGCAGGAGAAAGCCAGGGTCCGCGCCGCAAACGGGAGGGCGGGCTGCACGGCTGGCGGGGACGGGCTCTGGGCGAGGAGGGCCGCGGGCCCCGAGCCCGGGGCGCACGAGGGAGCCGGCGGAGACGAGAAGGGGGGTGGGCGCCATCGGGGCCTCTGAGGGGCAGGCGGTGCGCGAGCGCGCGGTGACTGGCTCCGAGGTGGCCCGCTCGAGGGCGAGCAGGCCGGGACGGGGTCCGCACGGGCCCCGGGCGACGGGACCCGAGCGGGGACAACGGCCCGGGCCACCCGGCGGACGGGCGGGAAGGCGGCCCGGGTCGAGCTGAGGCGGGCCCGGCGCGCAGCCCTCGGAGGAGGACGGAGGGGTCGGTCGGGAGGAGCCCGGAGCGGGCGCGGGCGCGGGCGCTCTCACCGGGACAGGTGTTTCAGGATCTGCTTCTTAATGATCCCAGCCATGCCGGAGCCGCGGCCCGCGCGGAAGGCGGCGGGGCGGCCCGAGCCTTCTCAGTGCGGAGACGAGGCGGCCTCTCACCTCCCCGCGGCGCGACTACTGGGCGCCGCCGACACAGCCGCCGCCATGGCGCTCTGTCGCCGCTGCCCCGGCGCGCGGGGACCCGCCACGCTCCCACCCCCCCGCGCGGCGCCGCAGCCACCGGGCCCAGCGACGCGGACACCGCGCGCCGCCCGCCCGCCCGCCTGCCAGGCGCTCGCTGAGGAGCGGGAGCGCGCGCGGGCCACAAGACGCGCGCGGGAGGGGGCGGAACTTTTATGGGCGGGACATGTTGTTTGCGTCATTGTGGGCGTGGTCAGGGACGGAGTACAGGAGTGAGCGAGCCACGTCCCTCAATCCGCGTCTGCGGTGCTGCCTGCTACGTACCAGACGCTTCACCTCCAAACCGCTCTGAGGTTGGCTCCAGACGTCGCCTTGGAGGACTCATCGGGAGACAGCAGGTGTCTAGTTTGGGGCAGCAATTCTCTAGACAGTTCTGCAGCTCTCGGATGGCATAGTCCACTGCTAGTCCACGTGTCTCACAAATTCACTCAGTGACTGTGAGCACCGACTCAGCTAGGAATGAGGTTGGAGAGAGGAAAAAGGCGTCAAGGACCTGTCAGGCCAGTGCCAGAGAGATGCAAACAGGCCTCTGTGGTCCTCTACGAAGGGCTTGGTTCTGGAGAGCAGAGGCAGGAGGATCGCACTAGTTCAAGGTCAGCTTGGGGTACATAGCAAGACCCGGTAAAATAAAGAATGGCAGGCATAGAGGGCGCAGAACATCCCCTGCCAAATGAGAAGAAAATGAGGCAGTAAATTGTTTAAATTACCAAGGACTTTGAAGATCATCATTTTACAACTAAGGAAACTAAATCTAGAGAAATAGGTGAAAGAGCTTCCCTCCACCCCACTCAGGCTCTCCTTGAACTCACTATGCAGCCCAGGCTGGCCTCAAACTGGCAGCCATCCTCCTGCTCGGCCTCCGGAACACTGGGATCACAGACATGTACCGCCACCCCTGGCTGGTTACCTCCTCCTTGAGACTCACAACCAGAACCCGTGTTCTGACCTCCAGCCCAGTGCGTTTCCATTCTGGTTCGTCCACACAAAATGGAACCCGTGTACCAGGGACACTGCTAGGCCCAGTGGCAAAGATGAGCAGGAGGTGCTCATCTAGACCATAGGCCTCCAAGCCAAAACTCAAAAAGAAGGAAAAAAAAAACCCTGTGGAGGCAGGCTTGCGGGAAGCTGGTCAGCAGCTAACTTTAAATATATCCGTTCCTGTCAACATGTTGTACACATCCATGGTACCACAGGCACCAAGGGGCTTTCGAGGTCTGGGTCTCCCTTCCTCAATTGTCTGTCAGCCATTCAGGTCCCTTCCTGCAAAACCACCATTACCTGGTTCCAGAAACAGTTTAAGCATGGCCAACTATATCCATTTTTAAAACACCACTATAATAGATACCCTGGAGGAGGAGCAGGAGGATCTACAGCTCAGGGGCAGCCTAGGAAACTCAACAAATTAACAAAAGAAATTTATTTTCAAAAATAACATTTAGGGTCTGGGGATTTAGCTCAGCCGCATAAGCGCCTACCTGGCAAGCATGAGCTCATGGGTTTGACCCCCAGTACCAAAAAAATAAGTAAATAAAAATAAAATTTAAAAAGGACTGAGGAGAGGAGAACTCAGTGACAGAGCCTCTCCCTAGATGTGTGAAGCCCTGGGGTCAGTCACCGCCAAATTTTAAAAAATCAACTTCATGAATATCTGTGCTTCTGTGTCTTACTCACAGTCTGCTCGGTTTTTCCGGGAAGTCCCCCAGGAACCACCTAGAAAGGAAGCAATAATCCTTGGCTGGGGTGCTCTGCTATCCAGTCCCCTTTAGCAGGGCTGTACATGACATCATTATTTGTCCCTCTGCCACTTGTCCCCATACCAGGGACCAATAGGGACCTAGAAGAAGTTTTTTGCCAGGATTATTGGCCATTACTGAATATTCCCAATTCAGCTCTCATCCCTAGGACCCTCAACTTCTTCCATTTCGGGCTGTTTTTCCTTGACCACCCCAAGCAGAGAATCAGACTGATATCTGATACCACCTATGTAAAACAATACGGACCTCATGCTTAAGGCATCCTCACCAATGAGTCATCACGCCCGATGAATGAGTTGTTTTTGTTGGTTGAAAAGAAAACTCACGCTCTACAAAAATATGACCACAGCAGGGTCCACATTCTCACCAACAGTGTTAAAATGTTATCTTTCCTTGCCACGCTGAAGATCCAAGACAAAATGGATCAGGAGCCAATCCATGCTTTTTTATACTTTTGTTTTTTTGTGGCGCTAGGGATCAAAACAGGACCTCCTGTTTGCTGGGCAACCATTCCACCACCACTTAAGCAGTAGCCTGCCCATTTTATTTAGAGACAATTCTACATTAACATACAGTTGTAAGAAATAATGTAGTGACCTTCCTGTATCCCTTATCCAAGTCCCTCCAACGCTAACATTTTATAAAACTGCAGCACAATATTACGATGAAGGTTCCGCTTTGCAGTTTAGGCTGGTCTTGAACTCACTTCGTAGCCCAAGCTGGCCCTGAACTCACAGTGATACTCCTGCCTTGGTTTTCTGAGTGCTGGGATTACAGGCCTGTGTCACCGTGCCGGGCCCATGTTGCCCTCTTAGAGCCACCCCACCTTCATCTCCAGCAGCAAATAATCTTCTGTATAATATTGTCATTTCAAGATACTGTGTGCACGCATGCGTGTACATATCTGGTATAGTGGTACATTCCTACAGTTCCAGCTGCTCAGAAGGACTAGGAAGGATGACCAGTTGAGTCAGGAATTTGAGGGCAGCGTGGGCAACAAGATGAGCTCAGGTCTTTTACAGAGGAAAATGAACGTGAAATCCTGTAGCAGGTAACCTCCTGAGATTAGGCTTTTTTTTTTTTCCCCTTCAGCGTTACAGACTGAAACCAACACCTCCTGCATATTAAGCAAATACCCTAACACTGAGCTACACCCCCTGCCCAGGGATTTGATTACTTTTTAATCAGCACAATCCTCGGAAGTTTCATCTCAGTAGTTAAGCATATCAGTGTTCTCTTCAGTGCTGAGTCACATTCTGTGGTACTGGATGTACTAAGTTCGCCCATTTATTAACCGGTTGGAGGACTTCTGGGTTGTTTCCAGCGTTTTATGATAAATAAAGCTTGCTTTGCTGGGGGTTTAGCTCAGCAGCATCAGTGCCTGCTTGGCAAGCACAAGGTTCTGAGTTCGATCCCCGGTACCAAAAAAAGAAAAGGAAAATTAAAGATGATTATTTATTAAAAAAAAAATAAAAAATAAAGCTTGCTTTAAGTATTTGTTTTCAGGTATTTGTGCAAACATAAGTATTCGTTTTGTCAGGATAAGTGCCCAGGAGTGCAATAACCGGGTTGTCTGGTGGCTGAGTGTTTATTTAAAATCTGCCCGGCTATAGCCAGTAACTGTCACTCCCACAAGCAGTACGAGTACAGTTGTTTGTGTAATTTCAGCAGCTACTGCTACCACTGAGTGTAGTGTAGCCATTCTGATAGGGGCTCGTCGGGGTTTGCGTTCTTAACTTTGTTTTGGTTGGGTTGGGTTGGGTTTGATTTTTTGAAACAGGGTCTCACCATGTAGGTCAGGCTGGCAATAAACTCACTGTGTAGCCCAGGCTGGGCTCAAGGATTGCTTAATCCTCCTGTCTCAGCCTCCCGAGTGCTGGGATTACAGGCGTGAGCCACAGTGCCCGGCTCTCAACCTTCATGATTTCTGATAAGAAACCTGCTGTCCTTCAGCCTGCTTTCCCCAATAGATAAGGTGGTCTTTCTTTGTGGCTGCTTGGTTGCTTATGTGTGCATGTACGTTTGTATGCAAGTATGTACATGTAACTATAGTTTCCAGAAGTTTGACTAGGAAGTGAGAATTTCTTTTGCGTTTATCCTTATTGAAGAACCCAGGGCCTTCTCACCGAGCTACATCCCCAGCCCTTTTTAAAGTTTCATTTACCACAAGGTCTCACTGTGTCCTTAAACTGCCCAGGCTGGGTTTGAATGTGCAGTGTCCTTGCCTGCAGCCTGCTGGGGTTACTGTGCACTGCTGTACCAGCTTCAGCTTCTGGACTGTGTAGATTTCTGTCTCTGGTAACTTGGGAACGTTGTTCTGGGTCCAGCTCTAACCAGTTCCTTTTGTTATGCTTTCAGACCGGCCTTGAAATGTGTTTTTGTTTGTTTGTTTCTTTTTTTATCGGTACCGGGGATCGAACTCACGACCACCTGCTTGCAAGGCAGGTACTTATGCAGCTGAACTAAATCTCAGCCCCTAATTTTTGTTTTTAATTATCTGTCTTTTTCAGTTTCCACAATTCACAGTGGATTTTCAAGTTTTTCCACTTACATTCTAAAACTTTTTTTCTTTGCTTGACACACTGGGGATTCGCATAGAACTGCGTCCCCAGCCCTGTTTTCCGTTTTTTTTTTTTTTTGTTGTTTGTTTGTTTGTTGTTGTTGTTGTTTTGTTTTTTGTCTTTTTCGTTTTTATCCGCACCAGGGATCGAACTCACGACTGCCTGCTTGCAAGGCAGGCGCTTATGCCGCTGAGCTAAATCTCCAACCCCCCTGTTTTCGTTTTTCATTTGATACAGTTTCTTACTAAGTCACTTAACTGACCAGGTTGGGCTCCAACTTTCCATCCTTCTGCCTCAGCCTCCCAGAGAGCTGGGATTATAGGTGTGCACTACCACATGTGACTCTGCGGAGGTCTGTTTGCTTCCACTATGTTCATAATTGAGCATTTTCACAATGGCTTTGTGCTGATATCTTTTTTTTTTTTTTTACATGAAGATCTTGCTAACTCCTGGTGTGACAATGATGTTGAGGTGAAATCTGGGAGTTCTTGCACCCTGTTCTGACACCTGGCTCTTCTTTAAACTCTGGGTTTTGTGGACGCTTTCTCACACTGGTCAGGCAGAAGGTGCGGACCTCTTGTTCCTCCTGCTAGGGAAACAGGCAAAATCCCAGATCACTCTGCCTCCTTAGACACCCAGGCTAGGGTTTCCTCGTTGCTGCAGGGGACAGGGAGGAGTTCTGGCTCCCAGTCAGACTTTCAGGAATAGACCCCGGCCGGAAAGGGCAGTGTGCTTCGTTACTGCCCCCACGCCACCCCCGGGGGCCTTCACTGGCATGGGTTCCTGGGCAGCGATGGAAGCCCTGACAATACCTCCTCTGTTGGTACCGTGGTCAGGAGGTGGCCGTGCCTGCGTCCTGGAAGGGAAGGATAATCTCAGCTCCTTGAATGAGCTTCTCTAATCCCGGATCAGGCAGGATTTGGGGCACTTCTGACAGCGCCAGTGAGGCGGAAATCAAACCTCCCCGCTCAGCCTTCGCTGGTCTGAGTTGCACAGCACTTCTGGTCTGAGTTCTCTTGCTAACAACGCAGCTTCCCTGGTCCTCTGGTCGTGCCGACCGGGCTTTTCTGGCGCATGCGCTTTGTCTCTGCCCACCAGTATGTTTTGGATGGCAGCTGCTTCAGTTCCAAGTTAGGGCTAGCAGGCCGCCCACACCCACCCTGAGAACCCACCACGTCGTCCTTAGGGCCTGAGTTCCTAACAGGTTTGCCTTCTTCCTCCTCCCTCCCAGTCTTCTTAAACTTCTTTTGTCCATCCATCCGTCTGTCTGCCTTGTCTGTCTGTGTGAGAGGTGGGAGTCAGTGATACAGGCATGTTGGAAGCTTCCGTTGTGCCCAGTAGTGGAACTAGGAAAGCACATCTATCCTATCTCCTCCAAAGTCTGGACATTTCTTTAACTTTTTATTTTTATTTTTTGCCTTTTTAAGACAGGGTCTCACTATGCAGTTCAGGCCGGTTTTGAGCTCACTTTGTAGCCCAGGCTGGTCTCAAATTTGCAATGATCTTCCTGCCTCAGCCTCCCGAGTGCTGGGATTAGAGGCATGAACCATCACACCTGACTTCCTAAACTTTTTATTTTAGAATAATTAGCCGGGGGGAGGGGGCTGGGAATTTAGTTCAGTGGCATAAGCGCCTGCCTTGCAAGTGCGTGGTTGTGAGTTCGATCCTTGGTACCGATTAAAAAAAAAAAAAAAAAATTAGCCAGGGATTTAACTCAGCAGCACAAGCACCTTGCTTGGCAAGTGCAAGGTTGTGAGTTTGATCCCGGGTAACAAAAATTAAAATTAAAAAAAATAGGGGCTGGGGATTTAGCTCAGCGGCATAAGCGCCTGGCTTGCGAGCAGGCAGTCGTGAGTTCGATCCCCGGTACCGATAAAAAGGAAAAAGACCAAAAAAAAAAAAAATTAAAAAAAATAAAAGTGATAGAATAATTATAGATCCACAGGAAGTTATGAAGATAATGTAGAAAGGTCTGGTGTAGGTTTCACCTGGTTTCCTCCATAGTTACATCTCATGTAACCACAGTACAGTAGAAGAACCAGGACATTCACTTTGGTAAGTAGTTCCATGTCATTCTGTCTTGTGTAGACTTGTGTAATCACTGCCGTTATCATGCCACACACAAAGGTCTCACTCATGCTGTACCTTCAGTCACACTTCTTTCTTTCTTGAGGTTTTTTTGACCCTGTGTCACTTCATGGTTCAGAATTGCCTTAAACTTACTTTGTGTATCCCTGGCTGCCTTGAACTCGATGCTGTCCTCCTGCCTCAGCCTCCCAAAGGCTGGGGTTACAGCACACACCATCAGGTCCAGCTTCAGTCACATGTCTTTCATTCAACCTTTTTCACTCAGCATTTTTTCATTTTCAGTGTCTAGGCCTTTGCACAGAGCCACATCACAGATCTTGTTTTCTTTATTTTGAAACAAGTCACTGGGCTTAAATTTGTAATCCTCCTGCCTCGGCCTCCTACAGAGCTGGGATTATAGGCATGCAACACAGTTAGCAGTGCACTGGTCTTGAGATGTATGTTAACTGCTGTCTCATTAGTCCATTCACCAGCTTATACTGTAGTAAGTCTGGAGCAAAGAGGGCATACAGGATGTCCCAAGAAAGTAAGTCTGTGCAAACAAGCACAGATAATCTTTGGTTTGTCTTTGTTTGTTTTTTGGTGGGATTATACTCACAACCTCACACTCACCAGGCAAGTGCTTGGGCCGCTGAGCTAAATCCCTGGCACCAAGGCAAGGTAATCTTATAGCAAGAGTCAAGAACAACAGGGTTGGGCTGAGGATTTAGCTCAGTGGCATAAATGCCTGCCTGGCTAAGCGAGGGGTTGTGAGTTCAATTCCCAATACCGCAAAAAAAAAAAAAAAAACCAATGACAGGGTTGAACAGCAAAGACATATTAATCTTCAAGGATTCTTTTTTTTTTTTTTGGTCTTTTTGAGACAGGGTCTTGCTATGAAGTTCAGGCTAGCCTCAAGCTCTCTTGGAAGCCCAGGCTGGTTTTAAACTTGCAACAATACTCCTGCCTCAGCCTCCCAAGTAGAGGAATTACAGATGTATGACACACACCACACCCAGTTTTCTGCTAGCCATTTATTTATTTATTTATTTATTTATTTATTTATTTATTTGTACCGGGGATGGAACTCATGACCTCATGTTTGCCAGGCAGGCGCTTATTCCACTGAGCTAATACTCCAGCCCTAATCTTCAAGGATTCTTAGAACTGGTTTCTAGTTTGTGGTGACTATGATTTTTTAAAATATATTTAAGGTCCAGACATGGTGGTACACACCTATAATCCCAGCACTCGAGAGGCTGAGGCAGGAGGACTGCTGTGAGTTTGAGGCCAACCTAGGCTACATAGCAAAACCTTGTCTCAAAAAAACATCTGTTTTAAACAGCATTACTGAGATATAAATAACATTCAGTAAAGTACACATATATAAAATGCATAAAATATACAACTTTTAAAATTTTTTATTCCCCTGTGGTACTGGGAGTTGAACCAAGGGAGCACTGAGCTGCATCCTCAGCCTTTATTTTTTGGTGGGGGTTTGAGACAGGGGCTCCCTGAATTCTCTGCAATTCTCCTGCCTCGGCCTCCTGAGTGTTGGCATTAAAGGTGTGCAATACCACACCTGATCGCTCAGCTTTATTATTTGTTTGTTTGTTCAGACAGCTTCTCGCTAAATTGCTCATAAAGAGCCAAACTTGTAACCCTCCTGTCTCAGCCTCCTCAGCAACTGGGGTTTACAGGTCTGGGCCGTCACAGTTCCAGTTTCTGAGGTCTTAGCACACACACACACACACACACACACACGTATGTATGAGTTATATTACAGCACACACACATACGTATGAATGGTATTAAAACAGCATCTGAAATACCAAAATGGCACCCAGGATTTGGAGGTAGATCTCTTTAACATGGGATACGCGCTGACAGGGAATCAATTGTCCCTCAAAATGTCAGGCCTTAGGACAGGGATACAGCTCAGTAGCACAAGCACCTGCCTGGCAAGCACAAGGTCCTGAGTTTGATTCCAAGTAGCAAAAAAAAAAAAAAAAAAAAAAAAAAAAAAAAAAAAATTGTAAAATGTCAGGCCTCAAAGGCCCAGGGAGGGAAGTTTTAATGGGGTTGCAAAGGAGCAGGTATAAGAGTATAGTACTTGGCTTTGATTGGTTCTTTTGTTGTTGTTGTTGTTGTCTTTTTTGTTTTTATTAGTACCAGGAATCGAGCTCACAACCTCACACTTGCAAGGCAGGCGCTTATACCGCTGAGCTAAATCCCCAGCCCCTGGTTGGTTCTTTTTGACACAGGGTCTCACTATGCAGTTCAGGCTGGACTTGGGCTCACTTTGTAGCCCAGGCTGGCCTCTAACTCTCACAGCGACCCTCCTGCCTCAGCCTCCCAAGTGCTGGAATTACAGGTGTGCAACAATACGCCCAGGCTTTGATTGGTTCTTAGAGTAATCATCACAGTGACTGGCTATGCGTCAAAGTAACGAGGCCTTTTTTTCTTTTTCTTTTTGAGACAGGGTTTCACTGTGCAGTTCAGGCTGGCCCTGAGCTCACTTTGCAGTCAAGGCTGGCCTCAAACTCACAGTAATCCTTCTGCTTTAGCCTCCTGAGTGCTGGGATTACAGGCATGTGCCACCATGCCCAGCATCTGTGACCAGCCCCGAGACACAGAAGCAACTGGACCTGAGACAGGAACTGCCACCTGGGCTATTGAAGTAGACTGGCTGGGTGGGTCTTATCTGCCACAATATGAAATCATCACTGCCGTCAAGGTAATGAACATATCTGTCACTATGGAGAGTTCTGGCCATGTTTTCAGCTACACCGGTCTCCCCTTGCCATTCCTCCAATACGAGTCAACTCCCAGTTCAGGGTCTGTGTACCTGCTGGTCCCTCGGCCAAGAAAGCAGACAGCCAGGCTTTCCCTAACCCTTTCCAGAATAAAAGTGTCCCTAACTGGCACTTTCTATCCCTAGCCCATCCGCTTTACTTTTCTTCATGACATGTCGTCCAAGATTGGTACTGGGTGTTCCTCCCTTTCCCTTTAGGATAAGGCTTTGTTTGGTCTGCAGTTCCTGCTCTCCCCAGCACTGAGAACAGCCCCTGAAAGTTTCCCTAGCAAGGCAAGCTCCTCAGTGATCCTCTTCGATAAGGGCACCACTGCACCCGGCTCCATCCATCTTTTAAATCCATTTTTTTTTTAAATCAATCTGCTTTCGTTTCATTTGTTTGTGAGAAAACCCAAAGTGATATGTCACTTTCACTCAGTGGGCCACAGTGGTTTCTACTTGGGAAGATGAAGCGGATGGATCACAAGTTGGAACTCAGCCTAGGCAACTTGACCCTTTCTCAAAATGAAAAAATGAAAAGGGCTGGGCATGGAGCTCAGTGGTGCACGGCAGGTATTTCATCAGGGAGTCTGTGCTGCTAACACCATCCTTAGTTACCAAGTCTTAGCCAAAGACGGTTCCTTGGGTTCCAAATGCTGCATCCTCACTCTGTTCAACAGGACACAGAAGGGCAGAGAATAGGCAGGGTCCCTCTGCCACCGGACCCCACTAGCTTCAGACTTCAGGAAATGAGTTTGTCATTGCAGATGGCTGTAGATGCAGATCAAAATTGCAGGTCCTAGAGTCACAGACATTGGGGTGGCCGGTCCGCCTGCCGCTCTGGGCTCCCGTGTTTCTGTGCTTGTTGCCTGTGACCTGCTTCCCTCTTACCAACAGAGGCCTGAGCAGATGAAAAAGGGGAAATGAAGCATTTAAATATAAAGGTAAAATTCTGTCTTGCTTTTCACTTTTTTGTTTCGTTCTGATGAAACCCATGGCCTTAGCCACCCTAGGCAAGCATTGTACCACTGAGCCACATCACAGCCCACCGTTCTGTCCTTTGTTCTTGTACCAGCAACCCCAAAAGCAGTAGGTTGTGAATACAGACACAGGAAATGGGAAAGGACTAGGAGGCCAGTTTCGTCTGAGATTGTAGCCTCACACTGTCTGCAGATTCAGGATGCACATCGGCTTAATTAGCAGCCAGGAGAATGTGGAGACCTTCCATTGACTCTATTTGGTCTTGGATATATTTGGTTGACATTGACTCTATTTGGTCTTGGATATATTTGGTTGACAGTATTTTGGTAAAAAGTACAGGGCTTAAAACACCCCCCCCCCCGATAAAAAGGAAAAAGACAAAAAAAAAGAAAACAATTTATCTTAGGGGCTGGGGATTTAGCTCAGTGGCATAAGCGCCTGCCTTGCAAGCAGGCAGTTGTGAGTTCGATCCCCGGTACTGATAAAAAGGAAAAAGACAAAAAAAGAAAGAAAAACATTCCCCCCACCAAGGTAAAAACAAGAGGTCCTATAAAGACAAAGAACAAGCTAGTTATATAATCTGAGCATGCACAACATGAGTTTCTTTGTTCTTTATCTCAATAAAAGCTGCTTGCTTATACTGGCCAGGCAACAGCCATTTTGCTGACCCTTGGTGTGTGTGACCCTTTATTTTCCCTTTGCTTGCAGAATCCCAACATCTGGCGTCCAAACAGGGACTCAACAGCAGAGACGTCTGCTGTGGAGTGTGACTTGCCTTCGCTGTGTTCCCGGGGTAGGACATGGCCCCCACGATGTGTCGACTTCATTTGCTTTGAAAAATCCCCGGGTAAGTCATGGAAAATTCCTTGTCTAAAGCACAACAAAAGCATAAGGCAAAACTGCTTTTTTTCCTTAAGAAGGTGGGCCATGTGTTCCCTGAGCATAACTTAGTACAAGTTTTGCAAAAAATTCATGATTGCTGATTCCCTTTCTCTATGACAGGCCCTTCAGGCACAGCTCACACACGCACCACAGTGACGGTGGATCCAGTGCCCGCTCTTCCCACTCATCTTTCACCCAGCCCCTCTGCCCACAGCGGCTCTTGGTGCCATCCAGAGCGACAAGATACTTATTATCAAACGGTTACATTTTCCCCGCTCGCCTGGTGGTACTGTATTTCCCATTATCAATGCTAATTCATGTCTTATCTCTCCAGGATGTACTCACATACACACATTCCCTCGAATTTATCGCACTAAAACTGTTTTACCACTTAGCAAAACTGACTTCTCCCTTTTGCTGTCCCCTACTGTTTCTCTTTAAGTCTCTTTGGCTATGTTGGTTCCATTTCTTTCAAAACGCCCCCAGTCCCAGGCTGGCAGGGCCCGGGCGCCCCTGCTGACCTGGGGAGGAGGAGATGCTTCTGTGTTATCCCCACAGGGTTCCTGCTTGTTGCATTCACCATGCACAAAACAAGTTGACACCACGGGCTACACAACGCAGTTCCACAGTTTCGCCTCTCCCTAAACCAAGCCTGGCCTCCTTAAAAGCGACCCAAGACAACTGCTTGCCAGTGACGTGGGTGACATAGATACATCTAAAGAAAAATCCACTGCTCATCAGCTTCTTGAGGCGGTATTTACCAAATTGACAATAAACTCTTTAATGCCTGTTTGTACTCTGTTGCTATGTGTTTTGCAGCCCACTATGGGGACCTTAGCATCCCACAACCTCCAGAAAAGATTAAAATACAATATTTGGGTTCAATTGACAAAATTAGCTAATATCTCCCATTTCTGTCTTGTTTAAAAGATAAAAATAAAATACAGGGGCTGGTGATTTAACTCAGCAGCTTTGCAAGTGCCTGCTTTGCAAGTGCCTGCTTTGCAAGCACACAGTCGTAAATTCAATCCCCAGTACCAAAAAAGCAAACAAACAAACATATTCTTGGGTCCTGTCTAATTCCAATATGCCAGGATCCCACCTCTCATAAGTAATTACACATTTTCTCCACTATTCCAAACAAAATGGTAACATAGGCTGACTTTCCACATTGGGGCCCTCCCGCCCTTAAAAACCTGATAATACTGCTAAAATGTTCACTCCGTAAGTGGCAACTTCAAATGCCTCATGTGCTTGTATTGAAAATTATACCACTCAATATCTCTGCCTTCCTAATAGTACTTAAAATTGTTCTAATTATAAACTAATATTATATGGACATGGACATGGTCCTCTCCCTGCTGGGTGGTTTTTCCCATGTGTCAAGTACACCTTCAGTTATATTCCTGCAAACTCAGCTCATAACCCAGAATGCTGCCTTGGTTGCCTCACTGTACTGTGGCCTACTCCTGAGTTTACACTGTCTAACACCAACGGTCTATGGCTAGTCTCACTGACCTCTGTGGGATTTTCTATCAGCCTGTTAATCCAAGCAGAAATTTATGCCTTAGGTATTTCTGTGGTTGGTGTGCCTGCCCTGGCAACCAGGGCTGATCTCAGTGTTAATGCACTAGCTTGCCTCATGGCAAAGCAAATTAATTATACTTCCACAGCCTTAGCATTATTAAACAAAAAGCAAACCTAACACTATCAAACAATTTTAAAGAATCGTGCTACAATTAATTACTTCTATTATATCATCATAGATGCAATAAAATTGCTGAAATGTGCTATTTTGTCTGATAAAAGTAAATCCATTAATAAAAAGCTTCATGATTTATAAAAACTTACCAGATACATGTGTCCCAAGGACTCGATACTAGATTATGAAAGTTCCTTATGAGATGGTTACCAAATATCAATTGGCTAAAACAAATGATTCTTTATGGTATTATTGTGCTTATCTGTTTAATTATATGGGATGCCTTTACGAAATGTTGATACCTAAAATACCAGTTTGGTGGCTCATGCCTGTAATCCCAGCACTCGGGAGGCTGAGGCAGAAGGATCCTTGTGAGTTCGAGACCAGCCTAGGCTACAAAGTGAGCTCAAGGCAGCCTGAACTGTATAGAGAGACCCTGTCTCAAAAAGACCAGAAAAAAAAAAAAGAAGACAGGGAGATGGGAGATGTGCAGAGGCCACACTGACTCCATTTTGTCCTAGACACATCTGGTTGACAGCGTTTTGGTAAAAAGTACAGGCCTTAAAACATTCCCCCACCCTACCAAGGTAAAAACATAAGGTGCATAAAGACACAAAACAAACAAGTGGGGCGCTGGGAAATCACGCAACCAGCTCACCCCCCCTGGTGTTCCACCAAGAGCCGACCTGCACACAGGCTGAGAATCAAACATCCCATCCCCCACACTCTCCCCCGGTTAGCAGATGGGAGCCAGAGGTCTGAGCATCTCTTGGGAGGATGACCGTATGCAATACAGCAAATAGGGGGGATTTCCTTCCACCATCTCTTTGAAGGCAAATCTTTTCATCACTGTTTTGCTTTGATCTGATTACGGGCATTGCTCTATTCAGTACTGTTTTAGTAAGTTCTATAATGTCCTGAATTTGGTTAGATTTTCATGGACCTGATGGGCAGAACAACTACTGTGAAGGCAAGAGATACACTGTGGTACTTAGCGCTGTTATCCCGTTAACCCACCGTGCAGCTCTGTACCAGCTTCACCGCACTCTCTAAACTGGCTTTGTTCTGTCCTGTTCTATTGAATTTTACTACCTTCAAAATAATAAATTTTTTTAAAAAACAAGTTATATAAGCTGAGCATGTGCAATATGAGTTTCTCTGTTCTTTATCTCACTAAAAGCTGCTTGGCGACGCTGGCTGGGCAGCAGCCATTTTGCTGGCCCTTTATCTTCCCTTTGCTTACAAAACCCCTTCAGGGAGAGTTATGTAAAAAGCACAAAAATGTAAAACTGGACATTCGCTCTAATAAGCAGTCCAAATCACGAAAGACTGCGGGTGGAAGCTGCGAGCTGCCTATCGATTCGCTATCCTGGGACACAGGCGGTGGCAAGGCCTCAACATAATCATAATACCCCGCGAACCTGGACTGAGGGAGAGCCAGGGAAGCAAAAGGCCGTTTCACTCCTCGCGCAGCCCAGGACCAAGGGGACAAGCATGCTGATGAAACATCACATTCAGCTTGGACGTTAAACACACTCACAGTGCCTGCCATCTGCCCCCAGAAACAGAAGCAAGTGTGCAATCCAGATTGATATTAACTAGCTAGGGAGGGAGGCACACGCCTGTAATCCCAACACTTGGGAGGCTGAGGCAGGAGAATCGTGAGTCTAAGGCCAGCCTGGGCTATACAGTTGAGTTCAGGACCAGGTTCTGTCTCAAAAAAAAAAACCCCACAAATAAATGTTTTTAAATGCAAATTTCCCTTGGGAGGCGGAGGCAAAAGTTTGAGGTCAGCCTGTGCTGCATAGTGAGTTCATAGCCAGCCTGAACTGTTTCAAATTAGAACAAAAAAAATTCCCAGGCCGTACCTCAGATCTCCTGACCATCTGCTGTCTCTGCTGACCTGTCCCCATCAGCCAGCCCACCGCTAGTGTGGAGCACATTCTGTCTTAAAATGGAAGGGCGTTTTATTTTCCTGTGCTGGAGAATAAACCCAGAAGTTTGCACATGCTTGGCAAATGCTTCACCACCGAGCTTCATCCCAGTACTCCTTTTGAGACAGGTCTCCATGTAGCCCAGACTGGCCTCAAACTCACAGCAATCCTCCTGCCTCAACTGCCAGAGCTCAGGATGACAGACGTGCGCCACTCAGACTGGCTCCCAGTCCTGTTACAAGACAGGGTCTAAGTTGTCCAAGTTGGCCTCAAACCTGCAATTCTCTCGCCTGGAATCACAGGTGTGTGCCACTGGAACCGGCTTATTTTTAATGATTCAAAACATGATACCAGGAAGGTACAAGTTTTTCTCACCTTGTCCCTGTCCCCCAACCAGCCAGCCATCCTGTGAGCAACCAGTATCACCAGTGGCTTATCTGTCCACAAGAACCCTTCTTCCTACACACAGGCAAATACGGGCATTTCCTTTAAAGAAGGAATAGCAGGAATAAATTGTTACATGAAGAAACCAAAATACCAAGCAATGTGTACTGATAGGAAATCTCTTTCCTATCAGTTACTAAGAGCTTCCTACTGTGCTTGTGTGTGTGTGTGTGTGTGTGTGTGTGTGTGTGTGTGTGTGTGTGAGAAAGAGGGAGAGAGAGGTTTAAGACAGGGTCTCACTCTGTAGTTCAGGCTGGCCTTTAACTCCTGGTGATTGCCCTGCTTCAGCCTCCCCAGTGCCAGGTATGTGCCACCACTACCAGCTCTACTGTGTTTCAACATTTATGGTATTGGCAACTTTGTAAACAAATCATTTCCAATAATGCTGCAATATATAAATAAATCTTCTCATACCTATATGAGAAATTCTAAGACATGGAAATGCTAGGTCACAGGACACAGAATAGATACTGTAATTGCCAGAGATTATAATAAATTCTGGTCCCACTTCCAATGTGAAAAAAAGTATAAGTTTCACTGCACTGAATATGAGTAGTACCAATGGCTTATTTTCTAGGCACTTCCCTGAAAACACTACTTTTATAGTCTAGTAATACAGCAAATAGCAGTTGGGCATGGTGGCTCACGCCTGTAATCCCAGCACTCAGGAAGCTGAGGCAGGAGGATCGTTGTGAGTTCGAGACCAGCCTGGGCTACAAAGTGAGCTCAAAGCCAGCCTGAACTGCATAGTGAGACCCTGTCTCAAAAAGACAAAGACAAAAACAAACAAACAAACAAACAAACAAACAAAAAAAACCAGCGAATAGCACTCTAAGGACAGCTTCTGAAGCTAGGGATGTAACCAAGTGGATGAGCACTTGCCTGTCAGGGGTGAGGCCCTGGGTTCAATCCCTACCACCACCAAAAATATAAGGAAAGGAAATAAACAAATCAAGGCACTTCCTATACCATGGAGATCTACATAGTTATGGGGGTTCTGGCTATTTGGAGCCAAGAAAGGGAACTGAGAAAAAGCAGAAGCTGAGGTGAAAGCAACTCTCCGTTTTTAGCTTGCATGCACTTAACACTTAAGTATTTTCCCTGCTTCAGCACGGAAACTTAAAATGTTCCACTTACTACATAAAGTATTTTATTTTACCCAATGAAAGCTCTATGCTTGCCTAGCTAGCATACTCAAGGGCCTGGGTTCCATCCCCAATACCCTAAAGAAACACCCCAGGAGGGAAACAAGGGAGGCAGACAGGCTCTGTTAGATTTATCAGGGCCCTACACAAGACAACCTTACTACTGGGCATAATGGCACATGCCTGTAATCCCAGCACTTGGGAAGCTGAAGCAGGAATGCCTCAAGTTCAAGGCCAGCTTAAATCACATAGTAAGACCCTGTCACAAAATGATAAAAACAAGAGATAAGTTTACAAATTAAAAGCAGGTGTCCAGGGCCTGGGATTTAGCTCAGTGGCTCAAACACTTGTCTGGTGCGTTCAAAAAATAAAAAAATAATAGTAATAAATAAAAGCAGGTGTCCAAAGGGGCTTTGTAGCTAAGGCAAAAACATCTCAAGCATAGGTCTTGCTAACAGAATGAGCTAGAGGAACACAACTACAGTGTTTCATTTTCTTTATAATACACAGGATACGGAGGGGAGGAAAAGGCAAACACACATTTAACTAAAAGAGCTGACAACTTTATTTTCGCATTTCACAACACAACCGAAACTGTAACTTTCTGCACTTTTATCCCACTTCCCCCTTCAAAACTATTCTCTCTTTGATAGGAAGGGGGAGCAAGTTTTGTCATCCGTGCTGTTAGAAAGCACCTGGCGTTCCAGCACCACCATCCCCTGGAGAAGCAGAACAAATAATGTGAAACAGACACAGAGAGGCCGCCCTCCGGCTTTATCTGTCTGGTCGAGTCATTCCGGGCCGAGTGGGCACCATCATGGGGCGAGCGGGAGGTCGCATCATCGGCGGCCCAGGCATCATTGGCATGTGGCCTCCCATGGGGGGCCTCATTCCGGGAGCTGCAGGACAAAACAAAGAAAAAGGATAAAGGAGTGAGCAAATGCCACTAAGGAAACTGTGATGGGAATTCAAACAAAAACAAAAGCACCCCCCCTGCAAAATGCTGGAAAAAAGACGTACTTGACAGAAGAAATGCAACAAATTCATCACATCTGTAAATTACTCAGACATTCTCAAACAAAAAATGAAAAAGTCAACACAAGAACCATGTGGAAATCATGATCTTAATGATAGTAAGGGGGAAACTATAAATAGACTGCTTTTGAGAAATCACCAGCGACACTGGTTCCCTAAACCGACCTTTTTCTCCCTTAGGGAAATTCACAACTAAGTCACATGTTATTCAGTCAGCTCTTTTAACCAGTTATATCCACCATATAACCAGGAGCTATCGCATGAATGTACACAGGCACAGAGGACAATCTTACCACTAAGCGTTTGTTCGGAGTTGTAGGAAAGGTGAGCAGGAGGCCCATGCTGAGAACCTGTTAGTAACCATACTTAGCTCAAGTCAAGAAAAATAATAGGCAATAATGTGATTTATAACAATTAGCACACACAAAATTTTATTTTCGAATGCATTTTAGAAAGTATTAATGAATTTTTTAAGTGTCCCTTCCACAAACCAAGTAATAAATGCGCCACGCAGGGGAAGGCAGGCAGAAGGGTAGGAGAACAGCACAGGCAGCTTCCGAGTGGAGGGGTAACATCCCGCCTCCTCAGCTGGCTGCTGGGCGCATGGATATTCATTACATTACATTTCATAATTCTCATGCTATATAATTCCTCATAAGGACTGAATTTCACCTCATTTATTTATAACTAAATAATTTTGATTAAAGGTTTGTAGCAAATGGTCCAAGAGGAAACTATATCCGAAGTTAAATATAGCCTTATCACAAAAAAGGAAACACAAGAAGCTAGGCAAAGACACAAAACCCAACAAGCACGGAATTTTTAAAGATCACTTTCAACAGGAACATAGAGTACTAAACTTCTGAATCCCACAGAAAGGGCTGTCCCTAACGAACCATTTTTACAGGAGACTGATATAAACCAGAAGGTAAAAGCTGGGCCCTGAACCCTGTTCTCTTTGGGCCCCAGTGGATTTAACTAGGATTGGCTGCCATCATTAGGGTTCCATATGAGATTCTAGGGTCTTCACCTCTGTATTATGCAAACACTCAGATCCACACAGGGATAGTGAAAGAGGAATGAACATCCATGTACCCATCATTCAGCTCGGTGTCTGTCCACCCATGGCCAATGCTGGTTAGCTGTCCCCCATCATCCCTACACTCACCCACCCCCAAGGATCCTCTACTTTTTTAAAACACAAACCCCACATCTTACCATTTATACTGACCTGGAAAAAACAGAAAAGCCTGCATTCTGAATTATCAACCCTGGGCTAAAGCTGAGTTCTAGAGGCATTCTTTATTCTTTTCTTTCTTGGTCATGCAAAGTCTTTCTCTGTTGTGCAGCCTGGGCTCAAAAAGCCCTCTTGCCTCAGCTGCTTGAACAGCTGGGACCCGACGTATATGCCACCACAGTCAGCTGAAAGCTTTCTTTCTTTCTTTCTTTTTTTTTTTTAATGGGTACTGGGGATCGCAACTCACGACTGCCTGCTTGCAAGGCAGGTACTTATGCTGCTGAGCTAAATCCCCAGCCCCTGGAAGCTTTCTTTGGACAGTCATGTATTTAACAGTTCGCCACTTCTCTGAGCCATCTATGTACTTGAATTTGTGACCCTGATTTAAGAATGCTAAAGCAGCTAAGTTACTTTATGTGTTGGCTTTCCAAGGCAGGAAGTCAGGAAAACTCTATACTCGCCCACCCCACTGAGCAGGCACACTGAATAATTTAGCCACAAAGCTTCTCCAATACCTTTGCAGTCTGCTCTTCCAGATGAGCTATAGGCATTAGTCAAATGTTCCCTAACTGTGTTATATCAGTCATTTATTACTAACTGTATAATTTAACTATTCTACAATAAAATCAGTAAAATATGAATGTGAAAGGAGAATTGTTTCTATGAAAACTAACTGGATGTACTTAAGACTCAGGCAAATTGCCCACAAACTTGGTAGGCTAAATGTAATAAAAGACTGAAAGGAGACTGCATCTTATGTCTTTAACCACTTGAAAGAAAATGAAAATAAAGTTGGTAGAAAAAGAATTATGGTTATGGTTTTTTGGCTTCTGCAAGAAATAGTGTTCCAATCAGCGGACTCATTCTCAAAAAAGTCCTGCACAAGTATCAGAAATATCTGCAAATTAATGTTATGTTTCCATTAAAAGATGGAGGCTATAGGGGCTGGGGATTTAGCTCAGCAGCATAAGCGCCTGCCTTGCAAGCAGGCAGTCATGAGTTCAATCCCCGGTACTGATAAAAAGGAAAAAGACAAAAAAAAAAGATGGAGGCTGGGGAGCATGGCAACGTGGGCAAGACCCTGACCAGAATTACAGCACTGCAAACAAAGAAAACTGTAAAACAAAATGTCTAAGGTTGAGAGGTGCAGCTCAGGGGCAGAGCACACTGCTTAGTATATATGAGGCTGTGGGTTCACTCCCCAGCACCAAAATAAGTAATAATAATTTAAAAGTAAGTAAAATGCTTCCCGGGGCTGGGGATGTGGCTCAGTGGGACAGCTCTCGCCTTGCATGCACAAGGCCCTGGGTTCGACCCCCAGCACCACAAGAAAAAAAGAAAAAAAATTAAAAAAGAAAGAAAGCTTACTGAACAAAACCCAGCTAGTGCCAGGTGTGTGGCACGTGCCTGTAATCCCAGTTATTCAGGAGGTGAGGGTATGAGGATCACAATTTCTAGGCCAGCCAGAGTAACTTAGCAAGATCCTGCCCCAAATAAAACTTTTTAAAAAAATAAAGGGCTGGGGATGAGGTCAGCTGTAGAGGATTTGCCTAGGATAAGCGATGCCCTGGGTTTATTCCTTAGTATCACAAAAATATAAGGCCGAAAAGAAGCCAAAACATTTTTATTTTACTTTTGGCCCTAGTTAGCTAGGGAGATTAAATGTGTCAGAGGAGGCAGCTATGCTCTGAATCAAAACAGACAATTTATCTACTCCTTAACCCCACAAAACAGAACATACCCTTCTCTTCACAAATGGCTAAAATCAGGATGAAACAAGGAAACAGAAGATAAAGTAAAGACATAGGCAACCTTATCCTGGATATCCAACTATCCAGGGTAGTTGGATATCATTCAATTATACTGACAAACAATATTCTTCTTTCCCATTTAGGACCAAAATTAATTTGCTACAATCTTGTAATAACATGTTTAGACTGCTAGTTAAGAATTGCGTTTAGACAGCTAATTAAGAACTTCGCTTGACTAGAGAATTAAAACACAGTGGAACATATGAAAAGGAAGACTTTCCAACTTACCAGGTCCCACTGGCATCATCCCGGGAGGAGGGGGCCCCATCATTGGCATCATGGGAGGGCCTCCCATATGGGGTGCTGGCATCATACCAGGGCGAGGAGGACCCGCTAAAAGAGAACGGAGCCGAGAGTTAAACTACACTGACGCCCCCCGGGCACTCTCTCTTCTTCATGAAATTCTTGGGTCTCACGGACTGGTTCAACTCTGAAACAACAGACCTCTTCCGTTTCTTTGGTGGTAGTACAGCCATAAAAATCACAAGTGTGAAACTACAGCTACTGTATGACTAAGATGTGAGAACAACTGCCTAGCTCCAACTATAAAACCAAGTTAGGTTCCTCAGGTTTCAAAGCAAAATTCTTGAGCTGGTGGTACAGCTCACTGGTACAGCATGTGCCTGCCGTGCACAAGGCCTTGGGTTCAATAACCAAGCCACAGAAAAATTCTAAGGACACTAATTTCTATACTTTCTATAAAACTCTGAACAAAAGTTGAGCTTAAAGTACTACAAGTACCTAATCTTAGATTTTTTTTGAAACATCAAGCTAGACTGAAAACATTCTTTGGAAACACAAGGGCTGTTTTCAGAGATCTCATCAGGCCTATTTCCTGATGGTATCATTTGCAATAGCAGAACTCTGTAACAACTTCAATACTCAACAATAAAAAAACAGCCAGGTAAATTACTACTGCCATTAACAATGGTGGGGGGCTGGGAGCATAGATCTGTGGTAAACCAGCTCTTCAGCATGTATAGACCCCTGGGTTTGCTCCTCAGTACTCAAAAAGAAAGAAGAAAAACCAAACTCAAAACAAAATAAAACAAAAAAGAAACCAGCTGGGAGGAGGAGACACAGTGACCTGAGAGCTGTGACATCCGGGGCCTGATCAGCGCCAGGATAGTCTGGGAGGCCATTAGTGACCCCACTGCATTAGCATGCAACCGTCACCAACGGCTCTGTACTCACATCCATGGTAACTTATGACAAGGTTGGCCTCTGAATCCAATTTCAATCTGAACCCTCCCAAAAGCCAGAGGACTTGTGACCTGGTACTCCGTTTCCTCCTGCCTCCTACACAAAAAGAACTTCCCAGAGATCAGGGGCCCTCAAACCACTCCAAATCTTATCTCTCATGAGAGATATACTACTAGGTGGGTTAGAAATAGGGTCAAAGACTGAAGACTTTTATTGAGCCACTATAGCCCTCCAGGGTTGTGTTCATAGTAGTAAATAATTTAATGTGCTATTATCAATTCATCTAACTACAGATTCATTCTGAGCTCTCCATCCAAATCTATCTCAGACTCACACCTGTGCTGTCACAAATACAACAGTTACTAACAATACCATCAAAAGTTAACTTCAAGCCAGGTGTGGTGGCACATGACTGTGAACTCAGCACTCAGGAGGCTGAGGCAGGAGGATCACTGAAAGTCTAGGCCAGCCTGGGCCATAAAAGCAAATTCAAGGTGAGTCTAAGTAAGACCCTGTCTCAAACAAAACCACCCCAAAAAGCTAACTCTAGCCAGGTGTAACAGCATTTGCCTGTTATTCTGACTCCTAAGAGGCTGAAGCAGAAATATCTCAAATTTGAAGCCAGCCTAGACAACACTGACTCCAAGTAAAATGAAAAGAGCTGGGATGTAGCTCAGTGGTTTAATATAACGTGAGGCCGCAGGTTCAAATCCGAGCCTGTGACATGCCCAGAACTTAACTGTGGAAGCTACTGTACACACTCATCAACCAGCACCGGTAGGCCTGCCCCGCAGCGGAGCTGGGAGAGGAGCGTGGGCACTTACGCAGGCTGGGTGGAGGCGGGATCATAGCCCCCGCGGGCGGAGGAGCGGAGAACGGGGTAGGCGGGATCTTCCCTTGTTGGAAGGCAGCGGCTGTGGAGAAGAGGGTGAGGGGTAAAAACAACAATAAACAAGCATTTAATAACCCATTTACTGCTAAATCACTTCTCTTTCAAATTTTCAACAGTTTAAATAACTTCACTCCAGTAAATAATCTGGTCTCTCCCTACCGGCTTTATATAATTGTCTTTTGTGTTTTGTATTACAGTTTTATTTTTTGTCTTTTTCCTTTTTATCGGTACCAGGGATCGAACTCACAACTGCCTGCTTGCAAGGCAGGCGCTTATGCCGCTGAGCTAAATCCCCAGCCCCTGCATTACAGTTTTAAATCAATCTTAGGTACTCATTGTGACAAATGTGTTTATTGCTTTAAGTTTTTAAATCTTTCTAAGAATTTATTCAGTTAATAGGTGTGTTAAAGTTATTTTTATTTAACTTTTTTTTGGTGTGTGTGTGTGTGTGTGTGTCTGTGTGTGTGTGTGAACAGTCTTGTTATTTAGTCCAGGCTGGCCTCAAACTTATGCTAATCCTCCTACCTCTGCTTCCCAAATGCTGGGATTACAACCACTAACCATATTTTATAACTAAAATAACCGTGAGGTTCAAGTAAAAATCTCCCATCTATCAGGCATGGTGGTGCACACCTGCACTTGGGAGGCTGAGGCAGGAGGAGGTTTCTGTGAATTGAAGCCAGCCTTAATTACATAGAGAAACTACATCGGGGGAGAACAAACAAACAAATAAACAAACAAAAAAACCCTTCCTATCTAACCAATGTCTTCTACCAACAAGATGTACTCATTTTTAATTTGTATATGTGGTTTATCATCAATTCAAATCATTCAGTTTTGTTTGAAAAATGTGTGACACATCCCCCAAAGGATAGGATAGGCTTTTTTGTTTTTTTTTCTTTTTCCTTTTTATCGGTCCCGGGGATCAAACAAGACTGCCTGCTTATAAGGCAGGCACTTATGCCTGCTGAGCTAAATCTCCAGCCCTAGGCTTTTTTTTTTTGTCTTTCTGAGACAGGGTCTCACTATGCAGTTCAGGCTGGCCTCAAACTTGAATTGATCCTCCTGGGTCAGCCTCTCACATGCTGGGATTACAGGAGTGCTCCACCACACCCAGCTGAAGGATAGGCTTTTTAAGTTTCTATCCTAGGGCAAGGAATATAGCTCAGTGGCACAAGCACATGCCTGGCAAGCACAAGGTCTTGGGTTAGATTCCCATTACCAAAAATAATTCCTATTCTAAGCTGGTTTGGTAGAACATGCCTGTAATTCCAACATTCAAGAAGCTGATGCTAGAGGATCCTGAAGGAGTTCAAGGCCATCTTGGGCTACAGAGCAGCAAACTCTCAAAAAAAACAGACCAAAAGAAAAAGGAAAATCCCAAATCTACCTTTCAGATGTCCTGGGTGAACTATACTAGTATACTATACTAGTTTACCAGTTTGAAATTAACTAAGAGACAGTAAAGAAAGTAGGTCTCAGAGCAAAGTGCTTGCTCAGAAGGAGCATGTTCATTTAAAAAGTCCAAGGGCACCAAGAACAAATCAGATCGGATTACTTCAAGTTTGTGGACAAACCAGGCTACACAGGGAGGACCTTTTCAAAAAACCAGAAGGTCCAATACTAGTAACTTTTTTGTCACATACATGAGGCAAAAGGGAAAAAAAAAACCCTGAAGATCATTTAAACTTGATTTCTGAAAGAATCACAAATAGCTGAGCACTGTGGCACACACCTAATAAGCTCAGCATTCTGGGAGGCTGAGGTAGAAAGTTCAAGGCCAGACCAGGGAACTTTGTGAGACTCCTGTCTCAAAATAAAAATAAAAAAGGTGTGGAGATAGTTCAGCACACAGGACCTGAATCCAGTACCCGGCACTGGATTCTAATCTGACATAACCCTTCCCCATTAACTGAGTGCTGGGGCCCAGCCCGCTCCACTGTCACCCGTGCACAGGAAGTCACATTCCCAAGCTAACCCACTCATGCTGAAGACTGCAGTTTTTCAATTTTTGCAGGAAATTCATGTTACCTAGAAAAATTCAAGGAACAAGAATTTAAAGAGAAAAACTTTTAATATGTTCCATTGTTACTGGCATTCCAAAACTGCAACACTAGGCAGAGAAGGATTAATCACTGATAATCCATGGGATCAGATCTAAAAAGCTGACCCTGAGTGAAGATTTATGAAGGACCATCTGAACTGCAGGGAACAAAGGCTCTGCTCTCTCAGGGGTTTCATCTCAGGAAGGGGTTTCAATCTAAGGCTACTCCCCACATCCAAGGGGGACACCTTGCAGGACAGCTTGGGAAAACTAAAGCAGGAAAAGCCAATCCATGGCGTAGCAACAGACTCAGTGTCCAGATACACTCAGGGATCACGAGGTGAGTCCCGGGACTGCCTGCTCCTCTCCTCGAAATGGTCTCCCTTATTACAAATATGTACTGCAGCCACGAGTGGCAGTGAACACCTACAGTCCCAGCACTGGGGAGGCTGAGGCAGGGGGACTGTAAATTCAAGGCCAGCTGCACTAGTATGTGAGACCTTTTGTGATAAAGCCACCAAATAAACACTCCCCAAAACCTTTAATCCCAGCTATTTCAGGAATTAAGGCAGAAGGACTCCAAGTTTGAGGCTATCTCTGGCAACTTTGTAAGACCCTGTCTCAAAATAAGTAAACTTTTTGGGCCGGGGATTTAGCTCAGCAGCGTAAGCACCTGCCTGGCAAGCACGAGGTTGTGAGTTTGATCCCTGGTACCGTCCCCCTAAAAAAAGTACATTTTTTAAAAGCTGGGGATGTAGCTCAATGTTAAGAGCACCCTGGATTCTGTTAAAAAATTATTCACTGCAAATTATTTTTCTGCATATGAAAAATACTCAAGTATACTGTTAGTCCTTTAATACAAGGAAGTTTTTATTTATTTATTTATTTTTATTGGTACAGGGAATCAAACTCACGACCACCTGCTTACAAGGCAGGTGCTTATGCCGCTGAGCTAAATCCCCAGCCCCAACAAGGAAATTTTTAACATCTTTTCAAAGAGAACAAGCAAAAACACACAGGTAGGTGTAGTGAGGTACACCTTTGTTACAGTTGAATACGAGGGAGAGGCAGGATCATCTATCTCATACCAGAAAGAAAAAAAGAAAAACACCAATAATAATAATAATAATAATAACAACAACAACAATAACAAAGAAAAGAGGGTGGGGGATTGGGATTACACCATAATTTACTTTCAGGTAAAATGGGAGAATGGCTGAGACTTGCTCCATTAAAATGCTGGCGGTGAAAGGGAGCAAATGCAGTAAGTAAAAGAATCTCAGGTGCAACTTTGCCCTCCGCCACAGCTGCAGACTTTCTTCCTACAGTACTGGGGCCTGAATCCAGGGAGTGCTGAGCTGTATCCTCAGCTGCTTAAAACATTTATTTTTAGACTGAGTCTCAGCTGCCCGTGCTGGGCTCTAACAGCGTCCCAAGTAGCTGGGGTCACAGGCCTGTGCTTCCATGCCTGGCTCCTTGGAGACACTCTGGCCGGGCTCACAGGTGGGCCTGGTTACTAGAGGGTTGGCACCAGAGGTGCTGATAAACATTTAAGACACACAGGGCAGCGCACCACAACAAATAGTTACACAGCCCTGTCAGTAATGCCAAGGTAGAGAACCTGGTACAAATTAAACAGGACTACGGCAGCTGGGTGATGGGAAACTGAAGGCCAGCCAGCATGCCCACTCATTAAATGTCTTTTTAAACTTAAGTTTTCACAAAAAAATGAAAAGTCTTTTTCTTTTAAAATCATCTCACAAAGCCTTCGTCAGCCTGTTAGCTCTGAATACAATGAATTTTTAAGAAGTCAGGCCCCAAAGTGCCAGTATGACCTAAAGTAAAAAGCAACCTGTGTCAGTGCCGTGGGCCCACCCAACCAGCCAGAACACCAGAATGCAGCCGTACCGCAGGGTTCCAAAACATACCCCGCCTGTTTGGTTACATCACTGAGCTTCTTTCAGAGCTATAAATAAGAAACCCAAGTAAAGTTTCTCAAGCCTGTTCACAACTTTTACTATCACAGAAGGCCAACAATTCTGAAAAACGTTGGATCCTCATTTATACATACAGTACAATCTGGTTCGCATTAACTGAAAATACCAGGCAACTCCATTCTTCTCTGTCCCACCTCCCGATCTAACCACACCTAATTGCTCTGACTGCTTTATCCCCAATAATTAACACTAAGGTATTCCTATATTCCTGGGAAACCAGTGACCTTCCAGTTCTTTCACTGAGTGTGGGCAAATACGCCTATTTATCATTCAGCACGAGTTGCTTCTGTGGAAAACAACAGAGACAGGGACATGAAAGAATAGGACCATTCTCTCACAGCAGAACAAGAGGCCGAAACATACTTGTTTTGTCAATCAGGCTCTGAGCCTGCTCTTCCATCCATTTCTGATAGTAGTCTTTCACGTTCTCCTTATGCTTCCTACCGCTGCAGTGCGTCTTTCTCACGGACGGCTGGAAAACAAAAAGTTCTATCAGACAGAGGAACGAGAAAGTTTACAAAACTTTACCTTTATTTAGGTACCCCTGGCTAGCTTTGGCTCTATGCTAAACATGATCCTGCGACACAATATGGTACTTTATCTTCTACACAAGGAGTCAACAGCTATGTTAAAAAAATGTCTATTTACATTTAAAGACTTGCTTTAAAACACAGAGCTGGGGGGGGGAACTCATATAGTTGATAAGCAATAAATCAGGACCTGGGAGCCAGATCTCTTCAGATATTCCTCATGGTTGTCTACCTCCCTCCCTAATGCTGTGCATGACTACTGCTTCTGCAATAGAGACAATGTTAATATAACCGGGCGTGGTAGTATACCCCTGTAATCCCAGCACTTGGGAGGCTGAGGCAGGAGAACTGCCCTGAGTTTGAGGCCAGCCTGGAATAATACTAAGACTCTGATTTTTAAAAAGTTAATGTAGTGGAGACTGTCTTTTCTAGTCTATTTCAAAATATTGTTCCTTGTCTACCAAACCCTGCTTATGTTAATACAAACAATGATGCCTTAACCACTTACCATTCTAATTAAACACAAGATAAAAAAAAACAAACTGCATTTTTGGTTATTTTTATAGCAGGAAACACAACAGTTTAATCCAATTTATTCAACAGATTTTCTGTTGAATATATAAGACAATATATATTAAGACATTCAATACACAATGCAAGGCCAGAGATTTAGCTCAGTGGCTGCCTGCCAAGTGCAACGTTCAATCCCTGGCAGTAAAAAATAAATAAATTAAAAATAAAAATACACACACACACACACACACACACACACACACACACTGCAACACTACAGTCTGAACAGTAGTACCTGGTCTCCTTTTGAATTCTTTCTGGACTACTGTCTCTCCTTGGGCAATACCCTTTACACTGTTGTATTGACCTTCTCTTTTTCCTGTGCGTGTTATGATAAATGCCTACCCACTAAATTAACAGTGAAGACATCACCGATGGACAACCTGATTGGTCTTTCATTATCCTGTATTTTTCAATTATTGGATCTATTAGAGAATCTAAACTGTAAATGACTATTTTAATTGCCTTGTTTTGCACGAATAAGTTCCATAATGTTTGGTTCAGAAGGTGCATGTTTCATAATATTTTTTCCTTGCTTTTTGATTTACAGGATGGCTTGTTAGATATTGTTCAACTCTGTCAACAATAGTCATAGAATTATTATAATCACTGACCACTACTGAAACTTTTTTTGATTTTGTTCTTTAATGTTCTTTCATTTCTGTATTATGAACAGACTTTTTTTGTCTTCCCACTTTATAACAGACTTTTCCTCTCTGATATGCCAACATTTTTACCTTTTTTAAGTTTTTCTTTTGCAAATCTTTGATACGTCCTTTCTCTTCAGTCTCAAGAGTCCCAAATATGTCTGCTTTGTTTTGTAAGAGTATGACAGATTTATGTAGAAGTCTTTTAAAAAAAACTATTCTAATGCACTTATGATAAGAGTTTTCATAGATTATGGCACAAAATTGAGGCTATTTTCACAAGTAAAATAAACATAAATTAGCAAAACAAAATAACCAGAACTTAACAAACATGAAAGGTGAATATAATGTTCTAAAAAAAACAGATGCAAAACATGTCAATATAAACTAAGATATACAGGTGTATTTCGTGCAAAGAATGGACTAGTTGAGAGCCAGGGACTTAGCTGTGGTTCAAGTGCTTGCTTGGTAAGCACAAGGTTATGAGTTCGATCCTCAGTACCAAAAAAAAAAAAAAAAAAAAGGAATGGACTAGATGAAATGACAGCTGCCTGTGCAATGCTCAGGACAGTCAGTACATACACACTCTGTCTGAATGACTCTTGGGATAAACTCTCCAGTGGTTATGCCTAACAACAAAATTATGCTTATGAACCAAACATATCAGGGGCTGGAGATATACCACTATGGTAAAATGCTTATTTTGCATGTACAAGGTCCTGAATTCAAGAAAAGATGTGTGGGTATATGAAAATACATTCAAAAGATTGAAAAGTACACCTCCACACCAACAATTTTAAGAAAATTATGACTAGGGGTTTAACCTATGAGGAAATAGGAATGATGACGACAGATTGAACTATACTACAAGCAAGGACTAACATGTCTGTGTGTCTGTGTGTGTCTGTGGGTGGGGGGTAACAGGTGACTAAACTCATGACCTTGTGCTTGCCAGATAGGCACTTGTGCCGAGATAAATCCTCACCCCCTAGCTAAAATATATAAATTTATTAGATGGGTCTCCACTAGGACAATCTATAAAAATATTTAGTTATTATTTCTTCTTGAGGAAACACCTTACACATTCCCCAAATTTGTTAATGCTGAACTACTACATCTGAGCACATATTAGGAAGGATTTTGTGATTTTTTTGTCAGTCATATTGGCAATTAAACCCAGGACCTTATACATGCTACACAAGTGCTTCACTCAGCACTACATTTCGGTCCCGAAACAAGTTTAAATGGAGTGGCAACACAGAAATTATTGACTAGGTTCTTCCAACTACTATTCAAGATGATTAAGTTTTCTTAATCAGTTCCTGCAGAAGCAGGAAACTCCAGAACTGCAGTTTTCAAGGTATGGCTTTACGGACACCAAAAGGTCTCTGACATCTCTTTAGGGGCTATGCAACAAGTGTTTCTGTAATAATGCTAAGGCATTCCTTTTCCAATGTGTCAGCAATGTCAATGCCAGACTGCTGGTCTTTAGGGTTAATCAAGGCAGTGATGCTTAATGTACTACTAATCATTGTGTTTCAATGTCATGCATTCTCCTTTATGAAGCAATAAAATATTAAATTTACTGGATCTCAACTCTTGAGTTTAATATTTTAGTGCAAACAAAGAAAAGATGGACAAAGCACATCTGCATGCTAAATATGGTACTATTCAAGGAGGCACAGACACATTATTTTTCTAGTTGCTATCTTATCTGAATGACTGAGAAACAAACTGGATACTGAGGCTTCTCAGAAATGAAGTGCCCTGTACCTTCAAAGAAAGCAATTGTTAGTATTTGAGCTTTCAAACAAAATATTAGAATTTTAGAAAATCTTAGTTTCCAGAGCTGAGGATTTAGCTCAGCGGTATAAGCACCTGCCTTGCAAGCAGGCAGTCGTGAGTTTGCTCCCCGGTACCGATAAAAGAAAAAAAAAAAAAAATCTTAGTTTCCCACCATTAAGCTTGACAGCTTCTTAATCAGATTTCAACTTTAACGAATGTCAATTTAAAATAGTATATAAGGGCTGGGGATTTAGCTCAGTGGTGTAAGTGCCTGCCTGGCAAGCAGAAGGTCATGAGTTCAATCCCAGTACCAAAAAAAAAAAAAAAAAAAAAAAAAAGTATATAATAAAATGCCCACCAAAAGACATAACCCAGAGAACCAATCCAAACCACAAATCATATTATGAAATGCATAGTAAAATTCATTCAAGGTGCAAGACTATGCATTGAAGGGTTTTTTAATATGCATTGAATTTTGATGTAACACTGTAAGGTAGTATTTAATTGGTTAATGGCAGTACTCTTATAGACAGTTAAGTTAGGTAGAACTGTAACAATCAAGACAGAGATAAGCTCTCCAAGTCAGTGCAGAGGATGAGAACACATTACAACCGTGGTTGGAAGTGCATCCACTGAAGGTCAGACCTCAAGATAAAGACAGTATGACCTGGCCTATGTGCCTCCCAAGGGATTAGCAATACACTATAACTGGTATCACCCGGTCCAATAAAGCCTACCTAGAAATCAGTCACCCAGGTGGGTGACCAGGACCTCCTAACTCATCTCTTATAAAAAAGCCCTTTTTCTTCCCATGTTCACTTGCTATATTAGACTTGCTTCCCCACTGGATCATCATTACCTCAGTGGCTATAGTTGTCATCTTAGGTTGATCACAATTTTGTCCTATGTTGTACCCATCTCCTGATTCTATTCTATAAAACTACCTTTGAGAAATGGACTAATAGGGCTGGAGATTTAGCTCAGTGGCCTAAGTGCCTCCCTTACAAGCACATGGTCGTGAGTTTGATCCCCGTACCCCTCAAAAAAAAAAAAAATCTTAAAGAGAAATGGGCTCATTAACAATCCACTTGGGCCCTTCCTGTCTCTTAGGACTGCTCTCCCTCAATAAAATTTCCTCCTCTTAACCCCTGTCGTTTCTTAGAATTCACTCTTGGATTTTGCGGTATGCAAACTCAGTGTCTCGGACATCCAGCAGGTTGGGAGTTGTAATATTTTCCTTACATCATTTGTAGATCCTATATCACTGCCACCTTTAGCTATATATCCACGTAAACTGTTTCTTCACATAACCAAAATAACATAATACAACAGTTTCAATATAAGAAAAGATGAAAATTCAGTTATCTTTTGTTAAGTCAGACATTCAAGGGATTCAGGAGGATTCTAAAACAATGCACTTGTTCATATTGAATTTTTTCCTGTACCAAATTTAAAAGAAAACTTTCATATTAAAAATGTTGTTGCATGTAAAAAGCTTGTTATTTTAAAATAAGTATTAATTTCAAATACAGTCAATATGGCTTAATATTTAAATAACTTTTTAGTACATTTTTGTTATTTTTTTGAGACAGAATCTCATTATGTAGTTGAGGTGGGCCTAAAACAGCAATCTTCCTCCCACAGCCTCCCAAGTGCTGGGATGACAGGTGTGTGCCACCACACCCAGCTTAAATAATTTTTTAGTGTGGAAAGGCCCTGAGACCAAAAAGTTTGTGAACCGCTGGAAGAGAACTCTGGAGTTGGATTTATTAGGTTTACCTTCCAGTTCCATACAAACTACTGGTTTTGTAACATCCAATTTTTCATATATACTCTCCCTCATTTTCCTCCTCAACAAAGCGAAGATAATAGAAGTGCTAACCTCACAGACTAACTGTGAGCATGAAACAAAATGATTCCTGTAAAGCACCTGAAACACACTTTTTTTTTTTTTTTTTTTTTTTGTCTTTTTCGTTTTTATCGGTACCGGGGATCGAACTCACGACCGCCTGCTTACAAGGCAGGTACTTATGCTGCTGAGCTAAATCCCCAGCCCCTGAAACACAATCTTACAAAATGAAGTATTCAGTCTCAGCTGTTGTCATCTAAGTAGTTCACTGGGATTACAGATCCCAGTGGGATTACAGATCACTACACCCACTTGGGTCTTAGTAGCTCTTAATCAAATCAAAGTACTCTGTTCCAACTCAAGGCATTTCCATTTTAGTCAAATACTTGAGCTTCAAGTGTAGACTCCTGGAATGCTTGCTTCTATAATTTTTTTTTTCATTCTTCAATCTTTCTAAAGTTTTCTCAAACAACAGGCATTCAATTTCAGCAGGCTGGGAATAGAAGGATCCTGGTACCATTGCTTCCTCAGATCCCAGCCTGTGGCATCCCCCTCATCCATGTCTGTTTGTGGTCCTAGGGCAGAGTCCATGGAGGCTGCATCCTGCCAGCAGCTGTATCCATTACTTCCTTGACAGTCTTGACAGTCACTGCTCTCCTTGGGCCCTGCCTTTCCCAGGAGCAGCCTGCGATCAGGTCTACATATTAGAGTTATCCATCCTCTCTAGTTAACATTTGTTTTTTATTTTCCCTGTATTTCTCAATTTACTGACCTGTTTCCATTTTCCTTTTTTTTGATACTGGGGATCCAGCTTGCCACCTCATGCCTGCCAACCAAGCGCTTATGCCACTGAGCTAAATCCCCAGCCCCCTTTCTTTTTTAATTAAATAATTTAATTAATTATATTTTAATTAAAAATATAATTCAGCTTTTTAGGTTTTTTTTTTTTTTTTTTTTTTTTTTTTTTTTTTTTAAGCAAGCTCTTGCTATGTAATCCAGGCTGGCCTTGAACTCACTATGGAACCCAGACTGGCTTCAAACTGGCCCCGATCCTCCTAGGACTGTCTAGGGCTGAGATTACCAAGATTATCTGAAATTTAAAAAAAAAAAAAAAAAACTTTTGGGATAATTTTGTACTATTCCTGTGTGAACCTTTTTGAGCTTTATGGAGAGTGCTAATCTGAAATAATAAAACAGAAATGGATAAATTGAAAAAAGCTGGATGAAAGAAATCTGCACTGAAATTGTTTTAAAATTTAATTATTATACACAGAGCTTTTTTTTTTAAATTATGAAAAGACACTTGGGAAGATTTGAGGCCGGTGGACTGAAGAAGGGTCGCGGACAGCCTGGACTACACAGCATAACTCTGACTCAATAATAAAATAATAATAAAAAGACAGCCACTTACAGAATCATGCGTGAGATACGTGTCACAGTAGTCACAATAAAACCTGAAAAGAGGTGCAAGAGAATAAGATGTCAACCAGTTAATAGATGTCCCCTATCCACGGAAGAGCTGATCACTGAAGCCAAAAAACAAAAACCTCACAATTCGAAGGGGTCAAGCAAAACGTTCTCCAACACCCAGGCTTTTTTGTTGCCCTCAGTATGTGTGGCCGACCTCCAGAGTCCAAAACCGCGGGCCAGAGCTCCCGACCTCCTACCTGCTCGTTCCCCCAGACCCCCGCTTTTCCCTCCAGGCTTCAAGAACCCGATTCCGCTCTACGCCCGTTCCTGGGTCAGTACTACTGACCGCCACCTCCCTCAGATCTCACCGGCCGACTCACTTGGGCATGTTGCTCGGCAGGCCGTTGGCCGCTCCGTCGCGCGCGCCGCCCGGAAGTGACGCAAACACCTAGCGCCGACGCCACGGAAGTTGTGAAAGAAGCGCGACGACTTCACAAAGCCTCGCTATCAGAACCAAGTGAGTACAAGTCCCTACGAGGTTCAATTCGCACTCACGTAATCTTGTTGCTTGACACTTCCGGAAGTGCGATGTTCTCTGTTAATGTGGCTGGTGCTGCTGTAAATGGTGAGGGAGAGGCGGAGGGAGAATCACTGAACAAAACTGGCAAAGATTATCTTTCTCATAGACTTGACTAGAAGTAGGATAAAACAGATAAAGCCAGATGCGGTGATACGTGACTGTAATCTCAACACTCTAGGAGACTGAGACAGGAGAAACGAAAGTGTAAGCTTCCCTTGGGCAATTGCGACAAGACCTTCTCTTAAAAATAACTTTTTTGTTTGTTTTTTGTACCGGGAATCGAACTTACGACCTCGCGCTTGCCAGGCAAACACTGCCGCTGAGCTATATCCCCGGCCCCAAAATACATATTTTTAAAAGATCTGGAGATGGGGGCTGGGGGTTTAGCTCAGAGGCATAAGCGCCTGCCTTGCAAGCAGGCAGCCATGAGTTCGATCCCCCGTACCGATAAAAAGAAAAAAAGACAAAAAAAAAAAAAAAAATCTGGAGATGCAGCCCAAAGCTAAGGCCTTGGGTTCAACCTTATTGACAAAAATAAAACAAAAGAAAAATAACTAAAATCAATGTCCTAGCTGGAATAGTGCTGATGAAATGTTGAGGGGAGGGCCTTCAACTTCAAAGAAGAGAAAGGAAGCCTGCTGAGAAAAAGGACAAATGCTAAATGTCTTGATAGCGCGCTAAAGCCAAGTGCAAGCCGCTTTACAGATCATTTCTCTTTTGAGTGTAGTTAACACCAGAGGTAGTAGAATCCCCAGTTTGAAGACCTGTTTCTCTGCTTCCTAGAGATATTTTGGAGAAGCTATTATTATTGTTATTATTATTATTACTACGACTACAACTACTCCTGTTGTCTTTTTTGAGACAGGGTCTCACTATGCAGTTCAGGCTGGCCTTGAGCTCACTTTGTAGCCCAGGCTGATCTGGAACTAGCAAATCCTCCTGCCTCAACTACCCGAGTGCTGGGACTACAGAGGTGCACAACCACTGCTGGCTCTGGGAAGTTATTTAACTCAACTTCTGTTCCCTTGTCTGAAAAACACTGGTAGTACTTCTTTTGTTTTTATTGTACTAGGAATCAAACTCAGGACCTTGTACTTAATCAGGCAAATACTTGAGCCACTGAGCTAAATCCCCAGCCCAGCACTGGTAGTACTTACTTGTGGAGTTTAAGGAAAAATAAATGTGAACGTGCTTGTTTAGGGGAATACCTATGCATACTGAGCCCTCCCACTAAAGGTAGTTACTACAGAGGAAGAAATTGATCAAAGTTTCTTCTACCCAGGGCACCCATTTTAGCAACAAGGCCAAACTTCCAACCTGGTCTATCAAAGTTCAGGATGGCTTGCTTCCCTCTCATGGAAATAAGGGTTGGGAACTGAGGAGGAGTTTTTTATTCTTCTGCCGTGCATACTCTGGTGATGGAGTTGCACTAATATTTTTATTATTATTGCACTAATAATAATAGCTACTTTCCTCAGTGTTTTAGGTGTGTTAATTCATTTAATCCCCTCAACACAATTCCCTCACATTTCAGATAAGGAAACAGAACTTTAATAAAACAGTACCACAAAGATTAATTCCTGGCTCAAAGGCAACAATGAAGTGATCGAGCAATTAAAACCATAGTATAATGGTAAATCTTAACGTTATTAATGACGGAACAATAGCTATTATATGTTTCTTGCTATCATGCCAACATAGTTGCTACCAGAATGCTTAACTTGGATCTCATCAGTGTACAGAATAAGCTAAAGCAGCAACGGCGAAACTTTAGCAACCCAAACTGCTACCTAAAACCCACTTATTACAGCAAAGCGCCAACACTGCAATTCAACCTGAATCCTGAGGTTTTAGTTTAGAAAGAACAACTTATACATTAACATCTTTTGTCTTAAAAGAAAAACACAGGGCTGAGGGTTTAGCTTGGCAGCATAAGCACCTGCCTGGCAAGCACAAGGTTGTGAGTTTCATCCCTGGTACCAAAAGAAAAGAAAAACACAATCACATATGTACTATAGGTTCACCAACACTGGGCTACAGGTTCAACTAAAGAAAAGTAAAAGGCAGAAGATTCACCAGGTAGAATGTTATATAGAAAAACTAGCTTCTTTGTTTTACCAAATCAAGAAAAGATATTGTAGGGACTGGTGATTTAGCTCAGCGGCGTAAGCGCCTGCCTTGCAAGTGTGTGGTCGTGAGTTCGATCCCCGGTACCGATAAAAAAGGAAAAAGACAAAAAAAAGATATTGTAGATTTAAAATATGTTTAAACCAGGCATAGTGATACACGTTCATAATCCCAGCGTTTGAATTGCAGAAGCAGGAGGATCACCGAGACCAATCTGAGCTACAAAGTGAGCTCAAGGCCAACCTGTACTGCACAGTGAGATCCCGTTTTGAAAAGACATAAATAAATAAATAAATAAAAATAATGTTTAAGAGCCTGAAAACTGTGTGTCATATATGGTCTAGAGTTAGAGTTTAGTTTGCACAAAATGTCTTTTTTTTTCTTTTTTGTCTTTTTCGGTACCAAGGATCGAACTCACGATTGCCTCCTTGGAAGGCAGGCGCTTATGCCGCTGAGCTAAATCCCCAGCCCCTGCACAAAACATCTTTAAAGGCCATTTTGCAGGAAATGTCTGGGCTTTAAGGTTGCATTTGAAGACACCTACCTTTGCCGGAGTGTCCAAATTGATTCTCAGGGGGATGGATTCACTGATTATGTCATTATGTTTTTCTGATTTCTGTGTTATCCTGCCCTGTATTGTTTTCCTGTCCATTACTGTTCATTACTTATGTGCATGGCTTCGGGGATGCTGACCTCCATCAGTGGGAGGCATTTCTGGAGACTAGGGGGATCCAAGAACAATGTGGCCAGCCCTCCCACACTCCGTGATAACAGGCTGTCCCTTCTGGCCTAACTGGCTCCCACTGGGGGATGCCCACACCCTGGCTCTGCTAACACAGTGTCCTCCGGCATGATGATAGCAGAAGCTGCTTGTTCTTCTAATCTCTGGGTTACTTCACTATTCTCCGATTGGCTTTTTATCTCTTCTCACACTTACAGAAAATAATTATCCATACTAAATTCCGTCTGCTTGCTTCTGTCTGTCTGTCTTTTTGAGACTGGATTTCACTATGCAGTTCAGGCTGGCCTTGAAACTCACTGTGTAATGTAGGCTGGCCTCAAACTCACAACAATCCTCCTGCCTCAGCCTCCTGAGTGCTGGGATTACAGGCATGCGCCACCATACCCAGCTAGCTCCCTGTGCTTTAAATACTTCGAGTGGTTTATTTGTTCCAGATTGAACCCTTATTAAGAAATATACTAGAAATTTTACCTGACTTCCAAGTTCAAAAGGGTATCTTCCTTGTGCCCTGAGCCCCGGTATCTTACAAAGAAGTGCTTTGCACATTTCCCCACCCTCTGCTATCAACTGAAAATGTTTATTCATTACCCGCAAGGTCAAAATCACAAGTACCCGTCAGATTTCGGAATGTCCTTGAAGTCCAGTGTGGCATCTGTAAAGCTCAGCAATGTTTGTAATGTGAATATATTTATGTTTTCAGCTTGACTTAAGGTAATTTACATTTAAAATTTTTTTGAGTAGGCAGTAAATAAACAGGGAGCAAAACTAAAAAAGCACAGAAGGATGCATTCCCCAGTCACATGCTGATTCCAGCTTCCTCTGTATCTTTCCAGAGATATATTATACATGAGCAAAGAAGGTTTCCTGGTTCTGCAGATCCAGGCTCTCACTGGATACGTGTGCCTAGATTTATTAACTAGTCCTTTATTGTGAACACTTAAATGATAGCCAGGAGTGGTGGTGTATACCTGTAATCCCAGCTGTCTGGAGGCTGAAGCAGGATGATATCCTGCAGCCTGGGCTGATAGTGAGTTCAAGGCCAGCTGGAACTACATAGAGACCCTATCTCTAAAAAACAAATTATTTATTTATTTGGTACCAAGAATTGAACTTAGGACCTTGTGATTGTCAAGCAGGCACCAAAAACAAATTTTAAATAAAAATTAGGTTGTTTCCTGTCACTTGCTGTTAAAATGACTCTACAGTTCATAGTTAATTCACATGCAGACAAATATGTTGTAGGACAAAGTTCCAGAAATGGAATTTCTGGGTTGAAGACTTTGCATTTTTAATTTTGAAAAATGCTACCAACCTGCCCTCCAGAGTGACTGTATTTGTATTTTCTCATCTTTTCGGATTGACAGGATAAAAATGGAATTACATTATAATTTTAAATTGTTTCTCTTGAATAAAGCTGAGCATAGTTTCATATGTTTAAAGACTTAAGGACCCATCATCGCCTTCCATGTAGACTGCCTTTTCTATCATTTTCCTTTTGTTAATTATACTATTAGGCTGCATATGACACAATCCAACTTAAACTAGCTTAGGCTAATGTGGAACATGGGAAATCCATAAACTGGGGCATCTAACAGCAGGTTTATCCTCAGGTGTGGCTGACTTAGGGCCTTAAGTGATGTCGCTTGGGTTCCTCTCATTGTCTCTCATCTCTAAGAGCCTGGACAGCCGAGCTTAGTCAAGTCCTCTGTGGTTGAAGTTGGATGGAAACTGTGATTGACGGTTTCACTTAACTCCAGAGAGGGAGAGAAAAGTACCTAAAACTTGAAAGAATATTATCATCCAAGAAGACAGTCAGAAAAGTATCCTAGGCTAAAATGGTGTGTAAAGATGCCATCACTAGCCCAGCTCAAAGGAAATGGCAGTTATTTCCACTGTCACCACCAGGGTACTTGGGTCCTTAGTTCCTTAACAACGTGCACTTTCTCGCAACTTTCCCATGTCTTTCTCTAGTACCAAGGCATAAAATGTAATACTCGGTTGTGAAACATTTATTTAACAAACATCCACTGAGCATCCACTTGGTGTTTAGAGCTGAGTTAGTCACTCTCAGTGGGAAAATGAGTAACACATCT